ACTTCAGAACAGCAGCCCACAATCCAATGGGTGACGTTACGGTGCCTATTTTATATACGGTCCAATATGGTCCACAAGGGTTTTTGCACCATTTCAGAAATAAATTCACATACTCAGAGCACACACATGCCTGTATGAATAGAAAGTATTGCATTTGTTGCTTGGTTGTTGAAAATACTAAGAGGATTCTTTGCTTGGATTGATGATAAGGTGGAAAGACGACTGAAAGTATCACGACTCCAAGGAGGTAACAGCGGCAGAAAACATCGATTGGAGGTTGTTGTCACATGATAGCCTCAATAATCAAGGAGGAAGTCACCAGTGACTGATAGGACATGAGAGTTTCCAAAAATCTCCATTTTTGGGGGCGTGAATGAGTAAAACTGGGCGCTAGTTGTAAACGTAGCAAAAGGCATTTGTTTTAAAAAAAGAAAATGCGTTAGTTTGGTGTAGCCTCAAGCGTTTAGTCGGAACTTCGTGTTTTCTTTCCAAAGGCCAATGGCATGTCAGCAGCTAACTGCATTATTCAGGTTACGTTAGAACAATACCTGTTCAGCTCTGAAGCATTCACAACGCCAGAGCTGACATGCAACCATATTAGAAATTAGAAAAGCAATATAGCAGCTCCTGTTTGACAACGCATCAGTTGATTTTTATCGTCAAATCTATTCTCTCAAGTTGAAATGATTCACAGTGAAAATACAAACCAATTAAAGTATAAATCTAACCCTTAGGCTGCAGTGGAAATATGTTATTCTATCATAAACATCCAACCCATCCACGTTGGAAGTAATGAAATTTTAATTACATTTTTATTTACAATACACCAGTACATCGCTATTGTTAGCTACTTCTACACAGCGCGGGAACAATGGCGCTCTTTCATTTCCATGTCTTCTACATGGATCAACAGCTAGTCGGGGCTTTTAGCCTGTGACATGCAGCTTTAGTCTCAGTGTTTTTCGCATGATATCATGTATGTAGCCATCACGTTAATATTTAACAAGACCGTACAGGGTTCTCGTTTTAGCAGGATATGTTGAAATGTCTGCTGAAGAGGAGGCATTTTTTATTATTTAATGTAGTGTTTTCGCTTTTGTTTACACTAAGAACCTCTTTTTTTTTTCACCGTAAACCGTGTTGTGCCAGAACGGAGAGCTTGACAGTCATATCTACAGCAAAATATTGAATCTGACCATCTGAATTTAATTAAGTGGATGTTCAAAACACTTGAAAACAGATTAATAGGATGTCTAAAAAGATGAAATAGTCAAAGCAACCTGATGGTATTTTTCATTTGTGCCCGGCAAGATCAGCTGGAAAAAAAAAAACAACCAGCAAAAAAACAAACACCCCCTAATGCAGCAGCTAGGGGTTAATTTGTCACTCCCACAATACTCTCCGCACTCTGTGATACTAAATGATTTGAATATACATGTTATCGCACAGTTAGAGCAGTCAAACGCCGCGTTTGCTTCCTTTGCAAGGCACTCTCTTTTTAGCAAAGCGATATGTAGTCTCAGCAGTCATCTCCTATACCTCCTTCTCTCGGTGAAAGGCTTACTGCTGTCTCTCTCCAGAGAGGAGGATGCTCTGCGTTGTGCCCTCCACCATTTTAGACTGGCAGATGAAACGGCGCGAGGAGCTATCTCTCCCCGCATGTGTCGATGCAGGGAGCTCGGCGAGAATTGAAAAAAAAAAAAAAGGAGGCAGAGGAGCAGCGCGAGGGAAGAAAAGAGCAGTGTGACTGAAAGACAGAGAAAGAGATTTGAGCCAGTCAGAGGTAAAGCTTCATAAAGCGTTAAGTCATTCTCAGGCAGTTCACATCAAACAGTGCCTCTTGTTAAGTCCTCCAGTGCCCGTTAAGTTAATAGAAAAGGACGTTACTTTGGGAAGTAGTTTTTCTTTCACCAATTTATAATAGCTCAAAAATGAAACCGCCAGAAAAAGCTGTCAGACCTTTTTTTTTTAAAGACCCTGCTGTTTACATAGTACCCTAATAGACTACAGCCAATATTGTCGAGGGATTATTACAGTGCAAGTCACAGAAAAGAGCATCCTGTCTTCTGACATTGACGAAGCAAACAGTGAGTCAAAGTGGGGAAGACAAGTTCAAAAACAGGTGAAACATCGAGAAAAAAAAAAAAAGTCCTGAGATGTCTAACTAGGTCTTAATCATGTGTTCCATTGGGTCGACCCTGATTGGGGCATTTAGGCTGCGAACAAAGTGCTACGAGCAGAAGTGGCACCTACTGAGCGAAAGACTGTGATTACTGTAATCAAGGCTTTTTCACTGCTGCCACAAGAGAAGAAAATACAGAGAAAGAGGAGGACGGAGTCCATGCTGCAGCCTCCACAAGTGAGGGAAGAATATTAACGTATTTGATAACATGAGCTCAGGCATGTGCATATTCTACCCGTTGTAGCTCCTCTGTGCTCACATGTGTGCATGCAGACGAAGGCTGCTTTGCCCCCACATGAACATCTCTTTCTACAAAGGGCTCAGTTTGCACCAGACAATCCCCAGGCCAGTCTGTGTCTCTGTAAGCTTCCAGAGTATTTACGCATTTACACTTCTGCCAGTGACAGCGTGTATTCGACCGAGTATGAAAAAGCTCCTTCGATTGGGGTTTGTAAGTACGAGCTGAGGGCCTCCCCCACAGTTCCCTCATCCCCTCTTCCACCGTTTTCTCTCTGCTGCTTCTTCTCCATCTCTCTGTGGATCCAGCTCAGGCTGGGCCTGATGGGATCGCCCCCACTATCACCATGCCTTTCCCCCCCTATGGTTGTGGGTCGGTACCGGCCTTGGTAATTGATCCCTCTGGGCCCTCCAGGCACATCCAACAGTGGGTTGAACAGAATCACCACTAAGAAGACAGCTGCTTGGCCACCCCAGACAGGCCCAGAGAAAAGGGAGAAAGAGAAAGAAACCCTGTTGCTGCTAACCATTAGGTCTGTCTGCCAGCTTCTTTCTGGAGGGAGCCAAGTCAGCACATCGCCTTGGCTTGGAAAAAACCAAGTCCTCCATTTTGAGAAGCTTGGAAAGATGTTGTGACCGTTAGCAGAGAGAGAGAGGCGAGAGGAACTGACATGAAGAAAGCAGAAAGCCTGTCTTTCTAAGTTCTTATCAACAGCCCAGGAGCTTGTGGGATTGATCTACTAAGTGAGCAGTGTTGCTTAAAGTCAAAGCCTCTGCTATCCAGTGAAAGAGTTGCTGTCGTGTTTCAGCTCGAGTGTCAACACCGCTCAGTTCCAGAGCTTCGGGCACTTCCACGCGGTAAAATAAGGCAATTAAGTTTATAAAGCAGGCACTGATAGCTGGCTTGTGTTTGCAGTATGAGAAGCAGGTTTATTCTGGCATGCAGACAACAAAAGCACACGGACAAAACAAATGGCAAAGTTCAGCTCTCAGCAAAGCAACTTTCTCCAAAACATCTACTTTCCAGGAACTGAGAGTGAATAAAAGTCTTCTTTTTGATGCATTCGCCAAATCACCCAGAGGGTTTTCAATAGTTTATTTCGCTCAAGGAGTAGGAGAGAGGAAAATAATTTTCTTGCAGTCTGAAAAATGTGAAATCCCCAGTTTTGGAGATAATTGGTTCTTACTGTACGGTGATTTAATCTACTTTTACGGCCAAAGTAGAACCAGGAGAGATGTTAACATGATGATAGTGCTTTAAGGAAGTGTAATGCCGAAGTCTGGGGGCTATATCCTCTGAGGACCATGAATGTGTCTACAACAAACTTTGAATTGCTGCTGGTGCTACAGGAAAAAGGCAGCAGTTTACCAAAGTCCAAAGGTTCAGTCCTCGAGAAAATATGAACGTTTGTATAAAATCGCAACGTAATCTCAGGAAAAGTGAAAAGTTTGACCTGGTGCAGAAGAAAAGGCAGGAGTTCACCAAGGTTTGCAGCCTCCTTTCTTTGGGGAACATGAATGTTGCTGCAAAACTGGGGTGGAATCTCAGAAAAAGGGAAAAGCTGCAGCTGGTGCTACAGAAAAAAGCCAGTAGTTCAACAAAGTCCAGAGGCTCCAATCTCTGGGGACAAAGAAAACCTCTTCAAAATCGCCATATAATATTCGTAAAAAAGTTAAATCTTTGACCTGCTGCTGGTGCTCCTGGAAAAAAGACAGTGGTTCACCAAAGTTAGCAGGTTCCATCCACTGGGGACCATAAATGTCTCCAAAGTTGCAATATGCTGTCATGGAAATGTTCAACTCTGACAAAGACAATGTCAGCATGTCATCGGGGCGCCATCCTCCGAGGACCATGAATTGCAGTGCGATCTCAGGAAAGAAAAAAAAATCTGGTGCTACAGGAAAAAAGGCAGCGGTTCATGGAAGTTAGCAGACTTCCATCCTCTGAGGACCATTAACGTCTCTGTAGAATTGCAATATAATGTCAGAGAAAGTGAAAAATCCATTCAGTAGTTATTGGGACTCTTTAGTCTTGACAGAAGTGGTGCCCAGACTGACCAACATTACCGTCCCCTCAGGGCTGAGGAACATTACAGACCATGACATTTAACAGTTTATTACGTCAAATGATGAGTTGTTTAAACATCAAATCATGCATAATAAATTATGAATGAATAAATGATTTCTGAATTATTTATGGTCATCTTTCTTTTCTTTTTATTTCTTAACAAATTACTGAAGCAACACCAGGCCTTCTTTTCTTCTTCCATGTGGGCTCCTGCAGACCCTGTTTTTTTCCTCCCACACTCCTATATTTAACACGAGAGCACATTCAACACAGAGCAGATTCCTTCTGACATCCACAAGCACAAAATAGCTCTCCAGGCTTCAGACAAATCCAAATAGGCACATTAATGAGACAGATTTGATAAAGGTGGTGGCGGTGATGGTGGTGGTGTGACTGTGTGTAAATTGGGGAGGTGGGGGGGAAAAAAAATAAAAAGACAAAAACTGATAATAAACCTCTGCATCCTTGAGCTTGATAACCATACCGCCTTCCCCTCTCCCTCTCTCCCCTCAGGCTCTATGACGCGACAAGAGTCCCCCTCGACACTCTTGCACTATGGAGAGCATTGATGACCCCTTGACAGACAGCCAAAACCCACCTACCACCAACACCACCACCACCATCACAACAGCTCCACCTTTACCCTGGTCCCGCAAAGGCAGGAAGCAACACAAGGGCCTTATGGAGGCAACAAGGTACAACAAGAAGCCCCTAAATCCTAGCATGATGCTGAAGGAGATCCTGTCTGCGAGCTTTCAGTTTCATGAAATTATTAAGGGTTTATCAGAACATGAGCTTCGGCAAAACAACGGAAAGCGTGGACTCACATGTGCGCACACATAAATCCAGATACAATACAAACAGCTGTCTGCTTGTTTGATATCTCTGTTTGGCTTACTCATTTTTCCATAAGCTCAGGATTTCCCTAGTGCGTGTTTAACCACAGAAAATCCATGTGTGCAGCACAACCCAGTAAACCCCAGTCGCTTTATTTTCAGCCCGCTTTATTGGCACGTCTCGTATATTGTCTTTAAAGTATTGTGTCAGATGGCGTCTGCGAGCTGGAATAAAACAAGGCGCCGGGCAGACTCTGATATTAATACATGTGATCGGGAAATAGAGAGGAGCCGCGTAGTAAATTTAACGTACGGCGTCATAAAAAAAGGATGAGGCCAAAGTCATAAAGATGCCCCGGTCTCGTAGAGTTTTCAAAAAAAACACGCTCGTCCGTTGGTCAATATTGTCAGCATTTATGGCCCCATGTTATAATTCGCTTTTGAGGGGAAAAAAAATAAAAAATTGGATCCTGCTGCTTCTCGGTCCAGACAGCGAGACTTCAGTAGATTTCAGACTATAAATAGCACGGGGTGGAATGCATTGGGTGAACTCGGCGGAGCACAGTGCATCAAAAAGAAGATTATTGCCTATTTACTCACAGAAAAGGCCATCTAAGATTGGATTTAAACATCTGAGCCCTTAGTATAGAGTATAGAAGAACACAATGCTTACATTGCCTGCAATCATCTGATCTAATACAGTGCCATGTAATACAGTAGCAGCTGATATAATCCACACGATACGACGCATTGTGCCGGCTACAGCTCAGGCAAGTTGTATCTAAAACAAATCAGTGACATTTTGTTGTTCGTGCCGTACGCCTCCGTGGTTAAATCTGTTCTAATGTTCCCTCTTGAGCATTAAGTTCTGATCATATTGTAGAATGCAGATAGTGAACTGTGTTTGCTTTGATGTTCTGATGAAATGCAGTATGAAAGGGTTCATAATGACATAACACCCCAGATAGCTTTGAACTCTCTCCTAATGTGGAATGGGGCCTGGCGTCTGGAGGCCCCAGCATACATGTTCATGTATTTTCATCTCAGCATCTTGCTTGAGGCGTTATCCAACTTCACAGCATGTAATGAGCAGTTTCCTGTCCCTTATTAACCTGTGGATCATCCCTAACCTACGAGTTCACGTTTGAATATTCATCAGGAGCTGCCATTGTAGCTCGCTGGCGTGCTCCAATCTACGAGCGAGCACGCAAGACTTAACATCAAACGGCGAGGGCAGGAACAAGTGTTAGAAACGAGCAACGGCGAGGTGACGCAAAAAAGCAGAGGCGCTGCACGACGACGGATTAGTGAGACGGCTTTATTCCGTCAGCTGGTGCTGCAGCAGCGACGCCTTCTTCAGCGAAATGTGCAAAAATCACGTCAATTAATCAACCGCTTGAGATTCTGCTTTCTATCAGTTTGGCGAGGCAAAGTAGGTCAGTTTGCCTTCACGCGTGCCCGTTCACATGTTCTCCCAGGGTCACCACGCGGTGACATTTTGAAGGGAGTCGGCAAGAGTTCGCACGGAGAGGAAAATGTCAAACCGGGGCCATATGTTCGGCTGCATTTCGTTCCCCCCTCCGCGACTCCCAGCTGGGGAGCGACTCCATATGCATTGTGGATGTATTTCTCTTTAGCTTGAACAGATGTGGCTGCTCGCACCTTCACTCGACTGCGCATAACAAACGCACGCACATTTGTACATCAAAGGCCTGGAGACGGGAGACCGCCACGCAACGCCCCCGAAATCAAATGTTTTTCCTCGTCCTCGATCGAAACGCTGCCGGGTACGTATCGATACGCATCGAGCGGATTGCCTGCCCCCCGCTCCATAACAAGAGAAAGCCTGCGCAAATTGCACATTAACACAGATGGATTCTGTCCGCGACGCTCCCTCCTGTTACTATGACACCTCCAGCAGTTATCAGTCTCACTCGACAGTCTAATTCCCTTTCTGTTTGAAGGCTTGTTTGAACAGCCGGACCACTGTACTCAAAGTTTGCCCAGCCAGACCCGCCGCTGCAGCACATTTCCCTCGACTCATGCATTCCTCCGGCGCGAGAATGTAAAAATATTCGCTTGCTGTTATAAGATATAAAATAGAGTAATACGGTCGTTTCCTGATAAACCTGAGGTAATAATCACCTAGGGCCTGTGAATTTTATTCATAGGGCAAATTCATCTCATATTCATCTGACATTCGTTCCCTTTTTTTTTAATAGAAGGCTTGCATTTCCCTGAGATGAGATTTGTGTGTGAGATTTATGGGGAACCATTTGCCACAGTGTGGGTGTGAGGAAAGGAAGGGAAGGAAAAAAGAAGAACATAGAGCGAATATAAGAAAATTACCATGGCAGACACAGACTATGCAGCAGCTTGCATTAAACAAGTACGCATCTACGCCTCGCGTCGACTTTCATTCATTTGCATTGCATTTTTTTTTCCCCACAACAATGTTTCTATGCAGTGATTTCCGCCCTCCTTCCATTTTGCCTCCCCCTTGGTGTAATCTCCCTTCGCCCACTAGGAGGCACTGAAAGAGGGAGACTGAGCTCACACGGGGATCAAAACACCTGTTTTGGCGGCGGTCACAGTCAAGCAGTTAGCTCAGTCATGGCCCTGTTTTAAGCTGTGTTACCTCTGGGTCATTTGGTGCCCAGCTCCAACAAAACCATGACATTATCTCTGTGAAAACCTGAGCTCATTCAGCCTTTATTATTCCCAGAGCAGAAGACATTGTCATCTGTGATACATGCTAGTACTCCATCCAACACCTGCCCCTTTCATGGCAATTTGCACCCCGCGAAATCATCGTGACTTCATTATTATGAATTAAGCTTCGGCGGCGATGCGGCAGCCTTGGAAGGCGTCGGCAACCTCCATCAAGTTGGATGTGTGACTGGCGGCGGCCAGATGGTGAGGAGGCTTCCAGATCCGTCTTTCCGTGCTAGATTAATTGTTTCTCAGGCTCTGCACCGCGAGGCCGCCTTTGTTATTGGTTACACCCGCTGAAGAGTTCTAAATATTTGACTCGCAAAGCGCTTTTATGATGCTACCAGAGCGCTGTAATTAACATCCTCATTGTGCCGAGGAGCAATAGGTGCACATAAACATGACACAGGATGTACACAGCGATGCCCTAAAAAAAAAAAAAAAAAGAAGCCTTGTCTTTCAAAGAATAGTTTCACATTAAGAACCTTATTTGCCTCCTTGCTGGGAGTTTAATAAGAGGATCAGCTGCTTTATGCTTAATACGATGCCACGGCTGGCAGCAGGTTAGCTTTGTTTAGCATAAAGACTGGGAGCAGGTTTGTTTGCTGCACAGACTAAACCAATAAGAAGCTATACAATAGTGTGTTTGAAGAAATGCATAGTGTAAAAATGAAGATTCACCCATAAAACGAGCCAGTTTTACTGTTTTCTGTTGTAAATTTATGCTGCAATAAGTGACTGCTATGTGGCTTTGTGTTTAAAGATGAAAGCTTTTGACCTTAGGAATGTTCTTTATGTTGCTTTTATTGCATTGATCATGTTTTTTTTTTATGTTAGAGGATAGAACATGAGCAGATGAAGTAGTCAATGCCAGGGTTGAGCATTTCTGCCTTTAAATTAAATATAATTTACAAAAAAAACATGGACTCAGGCAGCCAATCCTGTTAACTTTCAGGGTACGGCGTCCTGTATCACTGTTATTCTTCTTTCTGGTTCAAACATGTACGGCTGAGTTACTCCAACATTACAATTTGAGCAGTTTTACAGTGTTTGAGTTGAGTTTGAGGTAAATTGGATTGGTAGTGGGGTGGAGAAAGAGGCAACAAGGATTTTCTTAAATCTGCAGTGTAGCCTTTAAGGCAGAAAGGGATTATTTTCATTGTTTAAAAAAATGTAAATATCCAATTTTGAAGCAAAGGTATGCTTTTTTTTTTTTAGGGGTTTTAATCAGTGACCACAGAGGGACTTTAATGCACAACAAAGAGTCAATCTTTAGCATAATGTAGCTCTGCAAGGAAGCATATTTCCCAAATGTGGGTTGGTCAAAATTACATATACGACTGTGCCTCTAAATTTTAAAGTCATACCTGATTACCCTGTGCAGCGATGCTCTGCTCCTGGCGCTCTTGCAACTCTTGCGCCGCTCCCTAAACATCTGGAAAGAAAGTTGGATCTCTTAAACTGTACCAAAACTGCAAATTTCCTTTAAGGGGAAGAGGAACAGATGCTGATTTGCTTTCTTGCAGAGTTACATAAGAAGACTGATACCACTTCCATGCTGTAGCAAAATGTGTCCAGCATCATCTCTAAAGCTCACAAACACCTTGCATACTGTTGTGAACCATCATTTTTAAACAACGACATCTTCCTCAGTGAGCTTTTCGAGATGCCGCTAAGTGGTTTGTTTCCTTTCGACAGAGCACAGCTATCCATTTTGTTCTGCTCCCAGTGTTTTTGCTAACCTAAATTACTGTAAATACATAAGAGTGCTATCAATCTTCTCATCTAAGGCGCAGCCAGAAAGCAAATAAACATATTTCAAGCTTTAAAAGGAGAGAAAACAATACTTATTAGAAAGAGTAGGCATGTGTAAACAGCAAAAAAGTCAATACCGCATATATGAATTGTTAAATGTAGAAAAAAAAACAACAACACTGTAATATTTTCATTTATACAGGGTTTTTCAAAACACAAAGTGCTCATTATACAAGCTGTATAAAGAAAATGCAAATAAGTTGAGTCATTAAAGTGATTTTTTTTTTTTTTTTGCACAAATACACTTTCGGAAAATTTCTCTCAGGAGCTGAGAGTGACAACAACCGCATGCTAAAACCGTTATCTCATGTTTGCTTTGTTCTTGTTCATTCACAGGTCTCATAACACAGCCAGAGATGGGAAAACCAGGGAGTGACTGTCGGAGGGAGTATTGCTCTCCCCTGGACACTGGATAAACTCGCTGTAAAACACTTTCTATTTCCCTCTCCGGGTGTCTGACTGCTCCCTCCTGCTATCTGTCGTTGGGTCAACATGTTGCGTCCACCTCCTTCTCCACTGTATCTGCCTGCTCTGTGAAATTAGCAGCACCTGCTCGTGCCACGGAGGAATCGGACACCTTGAAAATCCCACGAGTGGTTCTTTTTTTTGCCTCATTGGAAGTCCACTGTTTGGAGCTGCTAACCGCAATTAAATAAGGGATTGCCCTCCTACCCCACCCCACCACATCCACCACCCACGTCTCTCTCTTCTAGACTCAGCAGTTGCAGAGGATCGACGGGATCATTACAGACCAAATCCTGTTGCTTCGCGGACCATCTCGCGAGGCCGTCAGAAAAAAAGAGAAAAAAGTACAAAAAAAAAAACAAAAAAAAAGAACCCGAACTGAGCGCTCTCTGCTGTGAATAGGCCTTCTGCTGGAGTAAAACCTCCCATATTTTTATAGACCAAAGAGCAAAAACAACAAATATGATCATTGTGACGGAGAGGACCATCTGGCAAAGACACGCCGAGACTTTGCGATTCTTGTGTCGACGCCGACCGACGACTGCCCACACGGAGACACAAAACCGAACCTTTGGGACCCGGTGGCACACAATCAAAGGAGTACTTTTAAAAAACTTTCCAGACTTTTTTTTTTTGGTTTGTTTTGTTTTTTCTCAGACTAAGCCCCACCACTGTATTTTGGAACTGGAAGATATAGGTACTACATACGTATAACTGTGTATCAAAAAAAAAAAATTTGCATTTTTCAGTAGCTACGGTTGGGACAGCTTGCGGGAAGGATTGGTCGGGTTGGATGAGGAATCGTATACAAAGAAATGATAAATATCTACAAGAGAGTATAAATGCTGTTGAGTCTGCTAAAGAAGGAGTAAAGAAATGTCATTAAATGTATTTTGAAAGGCCCTAAAAAGTTATATATTTAACAGTTTTATATGTTGTACCTTTGTAGAGAAGCTTATTGGACTTAAAAATGTGGTCACAATGGCAGTTTAGTAGGATGTGAACAAACGCTGTTGTTCTCATTACTGCTGGCTCGTAGTCCCAGGTTTTTTTCTGTTCACACCTCAGTAGCCGCTTTCTTTTCATGGTCATCTACAAAGTCGCTGTCTATCAGAACCATTAATGGGAAAAAAAAAAAAAACAAGGAAAAGTGACACAATTTAATCGAGGACTGATCTGCAGCCAACTGAACATTGTAAATCTATGGTAGTCAGTGGAAGCCATTGAAATCTGCTAATTTGCTATGATATTGTATTGTACACGGTGTGGAATACTGACTCATTTCCTCTCTATGAGTTTTGATCTCTTAATTTATTTTTTTGTGCTTGTGTTGGTTTCGCACAAATCCAGCCTCTCTCTCTCTCTCTCGCCCCGCCGGTCGACGAGGGGGGGAGAGAGAGAGAGAGGGAGAGAAAGAGTCGAAAGCAGAGGAAGCGTTGCAGAAGTATTTAGAGTCATTTACATAATTTTTTTTCTTTTTTTTTTTATCATGAAATATTTTAAGAATAAATTAAATACATGAAAAAGAAACATCCCCTGCTAATGTAGATGGTCTTGGTGTTCAAGGTCATCAAAAGGGAAATTCAATTGATCTTACTCTGGTCTTAATGAATGTTCTGGCACCTAAAAGGGACGAGAAATGAGTTTTCTTTCCCAGGTAATCGGGCTGGGTTCATGATCGCGTCGTTTCCGAGGTGAAGTCTTACGAGGTTCGGCGGGGGGAATGTAAAAAAGCATCAAAGCAACCTCAGTCACAAGATGCACTTAGTCAAGGTTATTCCTTAGTTGCACTAACAGGGGGGGAGATGCCGAGTGCATAACTATGAAGGTGGGAAATAAGTTTGCATATGTGAGTTATTCTGGAAAAAAAAAAACATTTGCATTTCCTAAAGACCCCCTCTGGTGAAAATCATGCTTTTCTACCTTGTTACCATGTGTCCATATGGTGGGTTTTATATATGCTGGAAGACGTTATAATGAGCACAATGAGCAGCGAGCGCCATGACTGAGCGTCTCCACCTTGAAACTGAAGCACACCGACGACAAAGACGTGGATTCAGACGGCCGACGTTTCATATGTGACGAACCCAAGGAGCCGGTCACGTCAACATGCGGGGCAAGGATGTCTGGATGTTCTAAAGGACACAATGGTGTGGAGTTAGATTAAAGGCAGGAAGGGGTTATTTACATGGAAAAACGTATTGATGTCATTTAACAGAAGCAAGATTAGTATTATAATGTTTATCTGTCTTTACTGGGGAGGATGGTGACACTTTGCGGGCTGCAGAATGGTCGAAATCCAGCCCATAAATCCACAACAGAGTCAACATTCACCAACCAACATTTGACAACTTAAGTACATACAACGGAAGATGGAAAACATCCCGCTTGTGAGTCCATAACTGCACGAGCCATAGAATCCCCCATAAGTTCCAAACCAGATAAAACCGCTTTAACCACTTACAAGACAAAAATATCACACTGGACTGAGTTGGATAATAATGTCAGGACAAGCAGAAGGCCCAACATAAAACACTGAAGCAGAGCTACTTCAAAGAATATGCTCATTTCTACTTTGACTATTCCACATAACTTGCTGCTACATAACATGAGGCACAACACAACCAGCGCTACAATACAATATACAACTGCAAACTCTTCAAACAGTTAAACAAGAGTTTAAAGAACCACCTTCAATCTGTTAAAAGTGCAGAAAATGTTAACTAGAATTACAGCCATGACGTTTTTGGGCTCTGTCAACCAGGGAATTTGCCATTTACATCCATATCTGTCCAGACTTGTTTAATATATGTGGTGAAGACTCTGAAAGAATTTAACTGATGTGAAATATAGTCGGGGCTGCAAGGTGGTCAGCATCGCTGCCTCGCAGCAAGAAGGTTGCTGGTTCGCGTCCCAGTGAGGACCCCCAGGATCTTTCTGTGTGGAGTTTGCATGTTCTCCCCGTGCAGCGTGGGTTCTCTCCGGGTTCTCTGGCTTCCTCCCACACAGTCCAAAAACATGTTGAGGTTAATTGGTGATTCTAAATTGTCTGTAGGTGTGAATGTGAGTGTGCTTGGTTGTCTGTCTCTAAGTGTAGCCCTGTGATAGACTGGTGACCTGTCCAGGGTGTCCCCTGCCTTCCCCCTGAGTCAGCCCCCCATGACCCTAGTGAGGATTAAGCGGTGTATAGATAATGGATGGATGAAACATAGTCACCATCTCCCTTTCTGTTGTGGAGTTATGACCAGAAAAGTGTTTTTTTGCAGAACAGCATGATGTCTCAGTGAAGTTGACCTTTAAATTTTCGATCTAAAACATCACTATGTTGTTATTTTTTCCCATTAGACAGTCGGTTGTGATTAGCATAGAAGTTTTTGAGTTACGACCACAAACCGTGTGAATCAGAAGAATGAGACGGATGGACAGACGCTGATATCTTAGACCTCCATAGAGGCAACGGTATGTATTATATACCACTGAAACTAATCATAACTATACTGAATTAGTATTACTTGGTACTCCCTCAGGCTAAAATACTTATCATACTGATATTGTCAACGAATACATGATTCAAAACAGTTGTAATTAGAGTAAAGAGAGAAGTTCAATCTGGAAAAACACAATTTTACACTGTAATCTGAAATAAAAGTGTTCGCAAAACTATCTGAACCATTAATTCTCACCGATTGGTAGAGCTTGTTTAAGATATATGAAATCTCTTCCATAATCTCCTTAAAAATAAAACCCACATCAGAAACATTATCCGGGTCTAATATTATTCAGCTGGGAATCGCTCAATCACTTGACAACATTAAAGGTTTAGATCACTTATCCAGAGCTGTTCCTAATAAGGTTTACACCAAATCTCTTTGGGGATGCTTGAAAAAAAACCAAAACACACTGAACAGTTACGAATAAAACACCACGATGTGAAAATTAGAAACTCCTGACGAAACTCAATTTAAAGAGAGGCTCATCTTCTGGGGTTAGTCGATCAAATTAACGTTCATCTCGTGACATTTTCAATACTTACTTATATAATTGCACATTTCTCTATTCATCTATAAGTATGAGAACTCCCATGCAGGTGAGAGGAGCTCCATGCAATAAACAGGTGATAATAATGACAGAAAAGCTCAGCAGCTGGAGGCATTAATCCATAGGAGCATGCAATTATACATCCCACTACACTCTTTTGTACACTGATGAATGCTGTCATGTGGTTTTTTCCAATACAGTACTCAAAGGCTATTGAGTTGACTTTACAGGATGACACCCGCAGTAATTATGACTGTATCACCGGGCTTGACAGTTAAGCAGAGCTCATTATGGTTTTGTTTTCGGTGTCACTTTGTAACAGCAGTTTTAGCTCCACTGTCACACAGTTTTCAATATGGATATATATGCGTTGGAGCTCTTATGGCACCTCAAGGTCCTTCTACATGTGCTCAAGTTTAAGGAATAAATGAGTACGATGATAAAAATGATGCATCTCCAAGACTGTTTACAGAGTCCACTGGAACTTTAAATACTGTATTTAAAACATTTCAGAGTCATTATATGTGAACATTGTTCTCAAGAGGCAGCAATAAATAATAAATAATAATGTTTGAGATTCATACAATAGATGCAAACAAAGAGAATGCAAACTGTCACAGCATCTGTGTGATTTTGTCACAACTGGAAGCCAGTCATGATCAGAAATACAACTAAACCCTCCAAACATCAGGCAGTTTTATTCCCCTTTTACAAACTGTGGGCTCATTTTTCTCTGGGAAATAAAGTCCTGCACCTCTGTGGAAACAGCACAACCATGGCTAGAAGGAGGGAGAACTCAGAAATGTTTTTCATGCATTAGAGCATAAAGCTATAAAAAAGGAAAAAGTGAAAATGACATTTTTGAGATTATTTAAATGGAAAAACCTGGAATCAGCATGTGCAACGTTTTCCCAAGTGCCCACAGATGTTAATAACATGGAGGGAGATGGTGACTCTACAGACTACAGATGTTTTGCGATTAAAACACAGCCTGCAGTTCAATCCCTGAAGTTTTGCAATGTGACTGTCGGTTGCAGCCGAGTTACTGATGAGTTCACGATTGTGGCAATGAGCTCTGAATATTTAGTTTTTTATTAAATCTGGTGTATAAAATGGTGTATTTTTTGGCAATTTTTAAAAAATGAGATTCGATGATACTGAGATTTTGCGATTTTATGTGTA